CCAGCAGTTGACTAACAGTTGGCCAACAGTTGACCAGTGGTTGGCCAATGGTTGACCAAAGTTGTCCGACAGTTGACCAGTGGTTGGCCAATGGTTGACCAACAGTTGACCAACGGTTGACCATTAGTGGTCGGCCATTAGCCAGCAGCGTGCCTAGGTGGCCATGAAGGCCAATGAGACCCTGGGATGCACTGCACACAGTGTGGCCAGCAGGCAAGGGAAGTGTTTCTCCCCTCTTCTCTGCTCCAGAGAGGGCACAGCTTGAGCATTCCTTCTCTGGAGATCATCAAACCTGCCTGCAGATCTCTGTTATCTTCGTCCCGGTCTGACTTCAGCTGGGACCATCTAGCTGTCCCCTCCTTGTGGCACCGTGCTGGGACCCCTGAGTGCGCACTGAGCACAGCAGAGGTGGCAGTTCCTCGAGGAAGAAATTGTCTCAGAAGCTGTGCAACAGCCAGAGGTGCTGCACCCAGGTTTGTGTCACAGGAATTGTTGGAATTCCACCCACCGTGTGCAGCAGGGAGCAGCTCCCAGGGAAGCTGGGCACTGTTTTCTTATGGCCCCACAACTCTCCAGAGATGGGGCCCGTTACACAGGGCTTTGATTTAGCAGTACATGTAATTTACGGCACCAGCAGAAGTGACAGCACAGCACGGCAGTTGCAGCTTACGGCTCAGTACAGATGCGGTTCTGTTCACCAGTCTCTGTCATCTGCTCTCCATGATGGCACTGAGTGTCCCAAGTCTCCAGGAGAGCACAGATGGGCTGAAAGCGCTTCAGATGGAGTTCTTTCTTTTACTGTTCAGCTCTGTGTTGGGTTTACCCACGCATACAGCCCCTCTCCCTGCATTGGTCCATGTTAGAGTCGTAGAATCACAGAATCGTTTGGAAAAGACCTCTAAGATCATCTAGTCCCACCATCCACCCACCACCAATGCTTCCCCACTGCCCACGTCCCCCAGTGCCACATCCCTGTGCTCACTGAACACCCCCAGGGATGGGGTCTCCCCTGGGCAGCTGTGCAGTGCTGGCTGCTCTTTGCAGCACAGGTTGTTCCCAATTCCAACCCGATCCTCCCTGTTGTACCCTGATCCCATCCCCTCCCTTCCCATCCCCGTTCCCTGCGGATGGAGACCAACCCCTCCTTCACTCCAGCCTCCTTTCCCCAGTGGCACAGTGCTGAGCTCCCCCTGAGCTCCTCTGCCCCCCTCTACCCAGCACGATGCTGGCACGGAGCCTTGCACCAAATCTCTGTGCTTATGGGGGCCGCGACCAAGGCCTCGCTAATCCAGATGACATCAGCAGCCCTTCTCCCTCCTGCTGGTGCAGTGACACCTTCACGGCATCCATGGGTTGGTCGGGCAGGACCCAGCCTTGGTGCAGCTGTGCTGGTTGTCCCCTATCACCTTCCTCTCTTCCTTAGCGCAGCTTCCAGGAGCTTCTGCCCCACGCTTTTCCCCAGCACAGAGGAGATGCTGGCAGGTTGGGAGTTCCCTGGGCCATCCTTTCCACCCTCCTTAAAGGTGGGGGCTTCTGCAGCCTAGGAGTACCTGTAGGCAGAGTGGAGCTGTGCGGGGCACTCTGAGTTTGCCTTGGAGGATTTTTAGCAGTGCCCCATCCACGGGTGTGTTTGAAACACGTTGGGCAAAAGCGTGGTACCTTTTATGGGTTGAATTGTAGCATCATGATACGTTTTAGTGCTGGTGGTGGCAATGGTGATGAGGAGACGGTTGGACTGGATGATCTTGTAGGTCGTTTCCAACCTTGTGATTCTATGATTCTGCGATTCTGTGATCAAAGAATCGTGAAGGTTGGAAAAAACTGAGGTGTCCTCCACGACCCAACAAACTTTATGGGGTCAACCCTATGGGATCAGCCACCAGCCAACCAAACCCTGCGGGGTCAGGGGTGACCCTACGGGGTCAACCACCACCCAACTGAACTCTACGGGATCAACTCCGTGGGGTCAACCACTACTTCTAAGATCCCCAGTCCAACCCCAACCCATCCCACCATGCCCACTAACCTTGTTCCCAAGCTCCGTATCCCCGTGGTTCTGGAACACCCCCAGGGATGGGGGTTGGTGTGACCCAAGTGAAGGACCCAGCATTGGGTTGAACTTCACCCCGTTGGCCTCAACCCATCAATGCAGCCTGGAGCCCTCTGTAGGGCCTTCCTGCCCTCCAGCAGATGGGCTCTTCCTCCCAGCTTCGTGTTTCCCTCATCCCTGATCACAGGGAGACACAAACAGCTGAAAATCCACGTTTCCCATCTGTCCCCTGAGCGACCAGCAGAAGCTCCAGCAGCCAAGCAGGGCACCGGGAGCACAGGGACATGCAGGGCCCCAGCAGATGTGCCCCAGCTCTCCTGGGGACGCTCAGGCTGTGCCATAACTGCTGGAGGAGGGGCTGAGCTCCCACCTCTCGGCGCAGGGTCGGAATGCCCCACTCCTGCACCTCTGTGTCAGAACAACCTCAAAAACAAGAGAGCCGCTGCCCTGCAGGATGGCCTGAGTTGTTGGGATGATTAAAAATGAAACAGCACAGGCGTGTTCTGTCAGCATGTCTGTTTCTTTATTTGGAAAGGAGCAGGGCGATGTGCACGTATCACATGCAGATGATGAAATATTTTCCACACCATTAGTAACCGAAGCTGTCAGCATCTCCCAGGTGGTGATTGTTCAGTTTGGGCATTTTTTCACTGTAGGATGCTGGGGGATGCCAGGGGCTGGCAGAGCTGGGGAGGGGCAGAGGCCGTCCCTGACGGCGGCACGCTGGTAGTGAAGGCAGCTGATGGAAATCTAAGGAGTGAAATATAATGAACACCATAAAATCTCACGGAACAGACGTGATTTCATTCTTGGAGGCATCGGATTTGTTTGATAAGGATCTCTGTTTAGGTGTAGTAGATTTTTGTGAGGCTTTGTTTACTACAAAGCCCACGTTGTACAAAACGAGTGCGGTTTCCTGAACGAGGGGCCCTGATGGGCAGCTGCCCGTAAGAGCTCAGCCCTGGCTGCCTCTTCTGGTGGCCTCTGCGGGGCTGCTCCCAGACCTGCTGCTGCTCAGGGCTCTCTTGAATGTTGTAGAGCATCAGAATTCAACACAGGCAACTGCAGGGTTCTGCACCTGGGGAGGAACAAGGCGTGGATCAGTGCAGGCTGGGGGCTGATGTGCTGGAAGGGAGCTGCGAGGAGAAGGACCTGGTGGTCAGCGGTTCACGAACAGTTGAAGAATGATTGACCAACGGTTGACCAACAGTTGACCAACGGTTGACCAACGTTTGACCAGTGGT